GAAAATTTAATGTTAAACAGATATACCTATAACTGAGTGCGAAAGTCAATACACAAAACTCGATCAATTATTGTTTCGTATTCAAATTATTATTTGTTTTCCTTACGATCAAAGTGAAGAAATTATTTAATTCATTTTTATTTAAGAACGATATCGCTAACCTTGAAATAGATTAGTTTTTTCAACATATTTTGCATTAGAATTAATAAAATAAGGAAATATATCATTTTATTTTTCTAGCTCATTTCAAAATTCTGTATATGTATAATTGTTCCTTTTTGGCAGTGACGTATAGGCAGAGGTTAAAAAATAATGTCTCATTACTAGTCTTAATTCCTATTACCTGTTAGATGGGACATTTTTTAATTCTGATCATAAACTATGTGCATTAAGTCTCTTGTTCTGTTTTATAAAGCGCAGGTTGTTATGGACATATAAAAATAAAATTATAAATAAATATAATTACAGGAAATATAATATGAAAAAAAAAATTAAGAGCAACTCACTATTGGCGTCATCTCGCTTGTGCAAGATTTAAGACAGGGAAGAAATTTCTTTTTTTAAGACTCAGCATCTTTTGTTTATGAATATGCTATTTACTTGCAACACAAACATAAATAATAAATATAAAATAGAGCTATATAATACTCGATATGTATGTTTTTAAATATTTTTTGCTGTTGCCCTGTCAGAAACGTTAATTTTCGATTTAACATGCCATTTTGTAAAATCAACTGAAAAACACTTTGCATAATTAACTAATAAAAATAAAACATTCCGAAGAATGTATATGTATATATTAATCAGATATCTAGTAACGACAGTTAACATTACTTATTGGTTACATACTCCATTGTGATGTTACAAGGCTTACCTGCCAACTATATCGCTGCTACACAATAATGAGATATCTAGTAAATGCAGTTAACATTAGGTGTTAGTTACATAACAAGAGTACCACAGTGTGATGTTTAAATGTTTATATGCAAGCTATATCGCTGCGACATAATAATGAGATATCTAGTAATTGTAGTCAACATTACGTGTTTGTTACATAGCATGAGTACTCCATTGTGATGTTATATAGCTTACGTTCCAGGTATATCGTTAAGACATAATCATGCGATGTACTTATTGTTCTTTTGTGAGTACGTACCTGTCACGTCAACATCACAACTGTGTTTACTGGGTTATTTAGAAAATTGTCTGTTTTGGAAAAATGGAAAATTTGTAAAAAAAATGGCTACAACAACATAGTATAATGCATCATAGAAATCTACAACTCACTCTGACAGATATTTATAGAATGAAGCTTGATTCGTACTGTGAAAAATTTATCATTAATGTTGACCATACTGTTAAAAAAGCTGTCTCAAATTTCTCAAGATATTTAAGTATTTAAAAATTTCAGATGAGAAGTTGTTAAATATAAATAATAACTTAGGGAAAACCGAGGGGTAAACCGCAGAGGAAATCAATTGTACACGCTAGAGGAAATCAAAGGAAATCACAGAAAATCAAAAAGGGAATCAGAAGAAATCAAAGGAAATCGCAGGAAATCACAGGAAATCACAGGAAATTACAGGAAATCATAGAAAATCGCAGGAAATCAAAGGAAATCAAAAGGAAATCAAGAGGAAATCAACGAGAAATCAAGAAGAAATCAATGAGAAATTAACAAGAAATCAACAAGAAAACAAAGGAAATCCAAAATCATCATAGCAAATCCAGTTAAACTAGATATTTTCTAGAACTAATAAACGTAACATGTACGACATAAGTCATAGGATTCATCATAAGAAAGAAAATATCAATTTAATCTTAAAAGTGAAGATTAAATAACCTTTTAAGGGCATAATGATAGAAAATGCCAGTATAATATCATTAACTGACAGCATGATATTTTAGCTTGACAAATATTAAAGTTGTAGTTAATGAAGTGCAGTTCCGATGAGAAATGATACATTATATTGCTTTATACCTACAAACCAAATTTATAATTTCACCCCAAAATAGTTTTTAAAAATTGAGTTTGTGATATGAGGTACCAAATTCATTAAGTTCAGGTCGTGCAAAAATCTTACTGATGATATGTTCTTGCCTTGGAAGTTTAGCTCTCAAACTTGTGAGAGTATGTTTAGAAGCCTTAAATCAATGACCTCAACTTTTAGCACAATTGTTAATTTTAGTATAAGAAATATGTTGCATCGAAGTGGCAGACTGCAAACTATAAACAACATTAAAAACGATTTGGATAAAAAATTCGTTTTTCCTAGAGAAATCAGGAAAAAAGTTCAATCATGAAGAGAGATTTTGTGAAAAATGATGACTTAGGAAACATTTCAGATAATGATATACAAAGCACCGTAGAATTAGCTTTACGGGATTGTTTGGGTGACACTGAAGATTTAGGAATGAAAGTGATAGATTTCAACTATGTATTTTTGCCTCCGTGTAAAGACAATGAATGCAATGACGAAGTTGAAGATGAAATGTTTAGTGAAGAACAGTGCGATCACATTGAAAATTACAACAATTCTCAAATAGCCATGAAACGTAACTGATTTCAAAGTTTGGAAAACGATCCAGTTGACCAAGATGAAGATTTACTGAATGATCTTCGCACAATTTCGTACGAATCTAAGAAATTTGACAGAGACATACACCTTAGAAGTTTTGATAGTGACGATATTTTTGTTGAGAAAGGTGATCTAGTCAGAATACGCTTAGATAATACAACAAAAGTTATAAAAAAGTCTTCACTTTGCTGGCTGTTAGACAATGAAAAGGATCGCGTCAGTGTGGATCGTCTCAAAAGATTTATTCAAAATAATAAATGTAATAGTAGTAGAGTTAACTCAGAAACAGATACCTACCTTCAACATAAAGATGCATCTCAAATTCAAAAACCAGTCCAAATTGGAAAATAAAAAAGACGCTATAATATATCAAGTGTAAGACTGATCGTTCTAAACCAGACTTAAATATAGACGATTATATTATAGTACAATTAACAACTCAAAAACAAAACAAAAAATGTTACATTGGTAAAGTGTTATCACTTAACCCTATTTTTTGTGATTTTTTGAAAAGGAATCCAAAAATTCCGGATGCTTTTATGTTTCCAGACATTAAAGATCAGGGGGAGATCCAAGAAAATGAATATATAATGAAACTACCTCCACCTCAGGTACTCAGAAGAGGCAGTATAGTCCTTGAAAAAAAATTATTGAAAAAATATTTGATTTAATTCTAGTTTTTTTTTTAAGAGATGTGATTAAAATTTGTGATAATGTAACCTCAACCTGGGTCGAGATTTGTACAAGTATATATCGTAGAGAATACTAAAGTAAGAAACTGTGCAAAATTCTAGGTGCCCATGAACACTTTTAAAGGGGAAAATTACCTCTGAAAATTTATCAAGTGGGGTTATCCACTCCTTTATTATGCAAAAAAAAAAATTTTACGTGTTAAATTTTGCATTTCAAAAGTTTTTTTTTCTAATATGCTTCATTTGAAAGTTGTGAACAAAAAATTTAAAGTGTATTTATGGGTAGCTAGAATTTAGCACAGTTTTTTACTTCAACATCATCTACAATATATACACAAACCTCGACCCAGGTTATAGGGTAAGTATTTTTTAAGAAGTTGTTTTATTTTGTGATATTTTGTTATGATCCAACAGAAATGGTTTACTTTTATGTTTAGAGTTACCGTTTTTTTTAACATTTAATAAAATAAATGAAACTACTTCTTTTTTCTGTTTATGCTACCATAATAAATGAATAAACCCAATTTTTAAAAAGTAATGACTTAAGTTATTATTATAAGTTTGATTTAGTAGGTCAACCTTTAACATGATCTTGTATGCACAACACAGAGATGAACTTAATAGAATGATTTTGGACTATTTGGTATTCATTAATTACCTCTGTGAACGTATGAGCCAGTCGTTGTTGCCTTATGGGTCACTGATAAGTAAAAACTGCGGATGTAACTAAGAATATCCTTGGCCTTATCCACTTTTAATTTCGTAAAGTCAAAAGCAAAATTTCATAATATAATTTATTAAAAATTTAATAATAATATATAATATAATCTATTAAATATTTGAGTGATTTAAACGAACTAATTTCAAAATTAAAATAGACCATAAGGTTTTCTGACTGAATGTGCAAAAAATCTAAAATATTGCATATGTCCATTTTAGAACACACATTTGACCCAAGAAAGTGTAAAATTCGAACGTATACTTACTCTATTGATTTAGACATCTAAAACCTCGATTTCAGAGTAGCGTTGTTTTTGTAAGTAAAATCAGATTTTTTTTCTTAAATATTTCAGTTTGTTGCTTAGCAGCACAATACATTTTATTTATTTATTTTTTTCGTCTAAAGGGAAAGCACTTCAGCTTACCTAGTCACCGCACGTTAGTAAACACTTGGTAAAAAAAGATTTAAATTCAACATCATTATCGGCAAAACAAAAAAGTCAAGTTAAAAAAAAGTTAACAATCGCCCTGTAGTACATTGTGTAAACAAATTTTGAGGAAATCAAAAGGAAATCAATAGGAAATCAAATGAAATCACAGGAAGTCAAAGAAAATCAGAGGAAATCAAAAGAAATCGGGGAAATCAACAGGAAATCATTGTCAAAAGGAAATCAATTGTACACTTGATGGTCGGCGGTTTACCCCTCGGGGAAAACCTTCTAATCCTTCAGATATTTCATAATTAAAACTACATATTTTAAAATCACATTCACAAGTCTGTCAAAAATGTTGGGTCTTACTTTCAATAAAATACAAAATATGTTACAACAATGTAAGGGTGGGGGGTATACTGGGTTCCAAAATAATTTTCCTGCACCACAATATAACAATTGCCACCGTACTGAACTCGTTGAGTGGTACTAGATAAAAACACTTTTTACTATTAGATAACGATATTAGTTATTATCACGGTACTTCATTATGTGCTTATAAACGAGTCATTGCCAAATCATCTTATCATTAACAAAATCGACAACAAGATGACCCATCAAACACTTATTTTTCTTTTCACATTAATTAGCACGGTTTTATCGGTAAGTCACAAGTGTTAAAGTGTATAAAATTTGTTCGAACAGTGTTGTAGGTTGAAGATCCAATAATAGAATTACCAACCGGACAAATATTAGGACGCCAAACAACAACCTCTACTAACACAGCTTACTATGTCTTTGAAAAAATACCATATGCAACGCCGCCGGTCGGTCCGCTTCGATTTAAGGTTTCTTATTATTATTTTTTTATTATATGTGTGTATAAGTTAACCCATATTTTAGGCACCGCAACCAGCTCAACCCTGGGAAGGTGTTCTCAATACGACATATTTAGACACAAGTTGCTATCAGCAACAAGGTGAATGGCCTTCAGATTCAGAAGACTGTCTCTTTGTTAATGTTTACACCCCAGCGGTATACACTTCATAGATTAAAAATAAATTCGTCAAATTTTTGTAAAATTTGTAGCTTCCTGAAGAGGACGAAAATGCTTCTTTCCCTGTCATGCTTTTTATACACGGTGGTGCTTTCACGTCAGGTCGGTCGTTAGATTACCGTCCCGATCTTTTAATAGAAGATGAAGTTATCATAGTTACAATCAACTACAGATTAGGTGTTTTTGGTAAAAATAACCTTTTGTTTACTTAAGTGCTATTATTTATCTTTATGTTTATTTTTAGGATTTTTATCCACACAAGACGAAATCATACCTGGAAACAACGGATTAAAAGATCAACGGCTGGCTATACAATGGACACATGAAAATATACACTTGTTTGGTGGAGACCCTGAAAGAATCACGATTTTTGGCGAAAGCGCAGGATCAGTGTCTGTAGGGTTTCATCTACTAGATCAAACTTCGCAAGGTTTGTTCAGCGGGGCGATTTTGGAAAGTGGTTCATCTTTGTGTCCATGGGCTATTCAAAGAGAAGCTAGAAAAATTGCTTTTGGAACCGCTGCAATTCGAAATTCTACCTTTTCAGATAGCGACGATTCTGCAGCACTGTTTGATTATTTACAGAGTTTAGATGCGGCAGATTTGGATCAAACAGCACAAGAGTATTTACAAAGTGTAAGAAAAATTTCTCCGATAGACAAATGAAACTAAACTATGTTTCTGACAGGTGGCCACACTGTTGGACCAGGATTTGGCTGTATTAGTTTATACACCTGTAATCGAAGTTAAAAATCCAGATGCATTTATCACGCGAAAAATGTACGGTTTGTTTAAAGCTGGAAGTTTTTTGCAGGTGCCAATAATAATTGGTATAAATTCTGAAGAATCCTTACTATTTAACCCAGGTATTTCAATCTATGACGTCTAAAATATCAAACATGAACAAACATTTATAGATCCAAACGTGGTGCAAATTGTTCTACAGGAATTTGACAATAACTTAGAGTTGATAGTGCCAATTGATATGCCAATTACAAATAGTGATCAAAATTTAGAAATGGCAACATCAATTCGTGATATTTACACCAACGGCGAACCCTTTGGTGCGAATTTGGGAGACGGAATCCGTGTAAGTTTGTAATTTTGATAATAACCCAAAACAAAATATTGTATACTTTTTAGTATGCCAGCGACAACGGGTTTAACAGGGGTATCATCAAACACGCTGCACTATCATCCAGTCTTACTGATGTTTATTTTTACCAGTTTTCGTATGACAGTCTACCTGGAAATGTTTCAGTTGTTTATGACGGTGCCGGAAGTGTTGGACATGCTGAAGAACTTGCTTATCTTTTCTGTGTAACTATACTAGGTTGCAGTTTAGATGATTTCGTCGAAAATGACGTGGTTACGTCACAACGACTTATCAAATTGTGGACAAATTTTGCGAAATATCGGTAGACACTTAGTACTGTGGAAAAACTTTCTCTCATACCTTTTCTTTAGAAATCCTACACCAGAAGCATCAGACTTGCTTCAGAATGTGACTTGGCCCAAAGTGTCTCTTGAAGATGGCGGAGAGTTTCTATATCTTGACATCAACGTTGATTTGGAAGTTAGAAGCAACCCTAAGGGAGAGGCTATGGAGAAATGGGATAGTTTGTATGAAAGTTTAAACTTTACAGATTTTGATACATACTAAAAAATATACAAAGTATATTAATATGTATGCAGGCAAATGTATTGTAGGTTTTCAGCATTATAATATAATATAGACCTAATAATTATTTCTTAAAATATTTAAGAAGATACAATTACCTGCAAGTGCGTTTCGTAATCTAACAGACTTCCAAACAAACATTTTCTGTAGATATACTTAGCCAAAACGATTGACACTATCTTCTCAACTGGATTTTCTCAGACCTTAACACCTATCCTCAATCTCAAACATTAAGAATAAGTTTGCTATTGAAGGTAGCTATTTAGGTCAAGAGCTTTCTGAAGCACGGTATAGTTTCTTGGACAATTTATAATATTTGTTTTGTTTTTATTGTTCTATAAGTTAAAATAGAGATATGATTTGCTGTTAAAGCCAAGAAACATGCCGTACTTTCGTTTCGTTGCGCATTTTTTATGCTTATTTAGTGAGTTTCTACCGTACTGTAGTCTAAACAAAACACAGAAACGATAAAAAGATCACTAAACCAACATAAACAAGACAATACTTTCCTCGCTTTTTCAACCATGTATTGTAAGTAACGACGACAATTTTGTAAAAAAAATTGTAATTTTATTATTTTGCGCGAAAACATTTGGTTGGTCTTCAAATGATGGATTATTCATGCTTATTTAGCGGATTTCTATTGTACTAACTGTGATATAAACCAGCCAAAAAACGATAAAAATCTCACTAAACTAACACAGTAAACTGTTGTTCCAGATGTCGGCTAGATAAAAGAAATAAATTACATCAAAACTAGATTTGCAGAATAATTTTATCGTAGAAAGTCTGCATTACATTTTTGTACTGTCAAACCGTAAGCTGTACTCTAATAAGAGGGAAACCTGTCATGAAATATTTTACTAGTTTTATTTCAAACAATTACCATTAAAGTAAATTAACATCGAAGAAATACCCATAAGATAACGAAACTAACCCTTAAGGACCCTCCAAATAAGGTCTATAATTTTTATCCAACCAGTCAAAACGAAATGCATTAGTCTAAGAATATATTCATACAAAATTGTGACCAGAGACGTAATTCATGAAAAAAAACCATAAAAACAGCTTCCGCTACTATTTCCAGTCAAACGTGTTGCCCAACTTGTTCCTTGATTGAAAATTAAATCTCCACACCAGTTTTTTTAGTGTATTTCATTTCTGAGAAAACGGTCGATTTTTCTTTTATAGTTTCTAGAGTATTGTAAGGTGAAAATAGTAGTGAAAATGGCGTTCAGAAATTTCCGTAAATATATAGTTGAGATATTGATTTTTAGATGGTCGTAAATTAAACAAACACGCAAGCGTTTTGTTTGTCCTTATTTAGAGCGTTTTCGCCGTACTATGATCTGAAAAGGACATAGAAACGGCAAAAACGCTCTGAACTAACACAAACTGTAAAATTGGTATTTGTTTACCTTAACAGTAACATTCGTTAATAGAATAAATGAACAGAATATATTAGACCTAAAATAAAGCTGAGAATATTTTTAGCTAAAAAGTGTTTTTTTTTTACCAGAGGGATGATAATAGTATATTGTTTTAATAGGATTAAAAGTGAGTGGTGTTTTTTTGACGAGCAAAATTTCTCTACATCCATTAATGTAACACAAAAATAAGAAATAATTAAATTAAAAAAAATGTTCATGAACTTCGATTTTTCGTTAAATACCTAAATGGAAAGTGTCAACGACAAGTAGTTGGGATTCACAAGATTAACGATATTCTACGAGAAGTAGCTAAATTTTTAAAATTGTAAAATCCCCATGAATGTAGCGGACATTGCTAACGTCGCACATCTGCCACTCTCCTTGTAGATGCTGGAAGTGACATTATATCTCTCAAGAGACACAGAGCGTGGAAATCGAATAGTGTAGCATAAGGGTACATAGAGGAATCAGTGAAAGACAAGGAAAATGTGGCGCGAAAAATGTTTCGGTTAGATCAAGCGAGTACGAGTGGAGTGATTCTCAAAAACCACCGAAGAGCAATGAAGTAAATATAACCATAGACATAACTGACAATGAAATAGCAGCAATATTGACAAACATTGTCAACACTGTAATTACAAAGGAATAATAGTGACGGCAATTCGTTAAACCAATTTTCTAAAAGTTGTTCCAATTTTACATTTAATATCAATTTTAAAATTTAGAAATTATGTATTTTGTTTAATTATTAATAAAATTATAAAATATTAAAGGCAACATTATTAATATTTTAAAAATCGACGAAAAATATAAGTTGATATTAATTATTATTTGTTTTTAATCCTAGCATTTAAAAGACTTTTAAATCCTAAGATTGAAAGTGAATGTTTCCTTAGTAACGCAAGTGTTGGAAACAAAAGTTGTTCTTTTTTTAAGAAAAGATCTGTTCCATGAAAATAATTCGAGGATACACGAAAGTTAAAAACAAACTAAAAGAAAAATTGTCACGTTAGCAGAAATCCAATTTTGCTCAAAAATCGCTTTCACCGGAGTTGAAGTAGAGATGAAACAAGCCTTATATTTATTCAGCTGACACAAGTCGTACTATGGTGACATAAAACATAGGAACGATGCAAATCTCACTAAACCAACATAAATATTAAAATTGCTATTTGGCCTGACATTACCTATCGTTTGTTAACATGACAGAATAAAGTACTCCAAAAAAATCTAGCAAGTGATACCTATCTATAAGCGAAAATTACTATTTTTCTCACGAGTGGATATCATTAATCGCTGGATAGTTAACTAACTTTTAGTTACATATAATATTAAACAATTGTTTTTAGTACATACAATTTTTAATTTTTTGTTTTGTAAAATTAACCCATCATAATGTATTTTTGTTAATTAAAAATTGTTTACCATTGTTTCAACAAATTACTTGAAAGAAAACTTGCACAAATTACACTGCCCACGTTGCAATACCAGGATTCTACGTACCTTTCGAGTCCTAATTAGCCCTAGTATCAGATAAAAAGAATATATAAGTATTAAATGTTTGATTGGTCGAAATAAGTTCGTTAATCTCACGTAATGCTACTATTTTTCTAAATAGAAACAAAATGTTGAAACCTGACCTGACCTTATTAAAAGATTGTGAATGATAGATTTCTTATAATCGGTTTGTATCAAACGCCAAATTTGGTCGTTGTTGAGAATTCGTTATACACAGGATTATAAAAGTGCCTGAAATGACGGTTATGACGGGATTACCAACCTTCGTTACATGCCCAAAATAAGTTGTCATAAATTCCGAACATTACCTGAACAAGTATGGGTCTTTGTGAAGACGTTTCCCGAAATTTAATCCGGGGTCTTTGGACTCACCTCCAATGTCCGAACGGTTGGCTGTAAATGGTTATTTTGCCGACAAACGAGCATTTTCTGGCCTTGTAAAACCTAACTGCCCATTCACAATGGACATAAGGCATAACAAGTACATAAAGCTTACATAAATACATAAAGTTGAAACGATGGAAAACGTGTACCCCTGTTCACAGTGGACGAACGTAATTCTTATGCTTATGAACGTTTTATGTAATCCTTGTGTGCGTACACAAAGTTGAAACAAGTTCAACTTTGTGCACGAATTATGTCAAAATTATGTTAAAATCTAGGGACTTTTGAATGCTGCTATTGAATTCCCTTTGACAGTTGGCACTTGGCACTTCACACCTTTGATTATATTATATAAATTATAATCAAAGCTTCACACTGCGAGTCTGTTCTGTACTGCGAGTTGTCAAGTTCGACTATCGTATGAAATTGTAGGTTAGATATTTTGATTGACTCAGTTTGAGGTTAGCCGTTTCTATGTTTAGCCGGGAGTTATTCCGTTCTGCGTTTGCGCAGTTTAATAATTCTTACAGAGTTCACTGTGTCCACTGTGAACGTAGATAAGCATAAGCCAGACACAAACCAAAAACGTAAATTATGTTATGCGCTCGTTCTTATGTCTTATGTCCATTGTGAATGGGCAGTAAGAAATGTTTTCGCACAGGTGTTTATTTGTTTACAGGAAGATTTCTTTTAAGACAAGACAGTTTCACAAAAGCTGTTTACGTATTTATTTAAAGAAAGTTTTGAGGCATCATAACATGAAGTTTTTTTCTCACACTGGCCCTGGTTTACTTAGCTTATTTATATTTAGGACATACTAAGTTCCATCATGAATTTAGGAAATGTTATTTATTATTAAAAATGGGTTACGAGTTATGTTGCTAAAAACGCATTTCCTAGGTAGTAGTAGGAATATAATCCATGAAGCTGTATGTTGAAAAATGTTTAGCCCTTATTTATATAAATTATTTTGATGCATATTTTGTAATTCTGATTATTTTAAGCCCTTTTGCTAATAAAATTAGAAACAGAAAGACTATCAAAAAGTGTATAAAACTGAATTGGCTTGTAAATTTTACCTACCAAGTTAAATACGGCTGTGGACAATGCTACACTTTTATTTAGAACTAGCTGACCCGGTGAACTTCGTTTCACCTACAGTTTAATTTTGAATCTGCAAAACCGAATGCTTTGAAATCTTGCAAATGTTTTAAATATATATGATAAGCATAATAAATTTTTATTCAAAATATATTTACTTATCCCCTCCAAAAAATTCAAAAAAAAAAAAGACTTTTCTTAAAACAAACGACGTTTTTTTTACGAAAAAACAAAGGACGATTTGAAAGAGTTTTGTATGACACGTCACTTAGACGACAGGTTCGTCAGAAACGCCAACTATTGAAATTAATTCGAAGTGGCGATTCCCATACAAAATTTTTAGATTTTTTTTTAGCTGTTCTTTTAAGTTTTCCGTATTTTGTTTTATTTATAAACCATCCCCGTAATATAAAAAATGATTCAAATCGGTCAAGCCGTTTGTGAGTTTTAGCGAGACTAACAGGAACAGCAATTGATTTTTATTATATAGAAGATTAAAAAATGGGGGTTGGTGGTAAGAAGGTGAAAATTTAGAGTTATATGTATTTTTTGATGCCAAATTTAAAAAAAATAAAAATAAAAAATTTTGTCAAAAAATAAACAAAAAATTTTCAAGGTGGGCCACCCTTATCACTTAGGGGTATAAAAAATAGTTTACAACCTATTCTCGGACCAAATATACATTTAAAAAAATCATACAAATCGGTCAACCCGTTTCGGAGGAGTTCGGTTACAAACACTTTGACGTGAGAATTTTATACATAATGCACCATTACTTTAGAACAAATTCCATTACCATAAAAAAGGTGATACTGAGTTGACCTTAAAAGATAGACATATGCTGTCGCGTACTTTTCTTTAGAACTTTTAGAGGGGAACAATTTCATCGTACATGATTTTTACGTAACTTTAACCGTTTAAGCAGCGGAAGCAACGGAAGCTGTCAAACGAGGAATAATTTTTCCGTTTTTCCGAATTTTTCATTGCTACTTGGCTCCTATTGATCATTGCGTGATGTTATATAGCCTATATGTAGATACGATAAATGGACTATCCAACACAAAAACAAACTCTTCAGCTTTATAATATAAGTATAAAATTATAGATTTGTGCACGATTACTAGGAACATTCAATCGGAATTTTTCATATTCTTAATTCGCTGCAGTTGTTCTCTTAAAAATTAGTTTTGGACTCAAAGATAGGTCAAAGATAAAGCTGTATGATTATTTGAGGACCTTACGTTAAAGTTGCTTTTTAACTGTACAAAGTGTTATGTTTTTAAGGCGTAGCACACTTATTATTTTTTTTAATGGAATGCTCTATATATTATTATTATTAGTATTATTGCATATTTTGCTTTACCTCTGCTTGGGCTGTATAATTGTCTTTTATTTTTTTTTGGCAATAGAAGGATTCCCAAAAAATCGTAATATGGCTAATTTTAAAATCTGTGCTACAATATTTTGCGGAGAGATAAATGAAGGTACCGCTCTATTGTGGTATAAATACATTTTAGTCTTAAAATACAAAGTGCTTATAATTCCAATTAACAGAACTTTCAAATTTCGATATTTCATTTTTGCAACTACAACAACTTTTATTTTGTTACTGTGTTTTATTCTGTTTTTTCTCTTTCTTTTTTGTTAGGTATTCTCTATATGTAAAGTTAATAAACAAAGAGAACAAAAATTATTAAGATGGAATAATTAAACACAGAGTATTATATTTTCAAAATTGAAAATCATTTTATTGTATGCAACTCAAATTATTCTTTGACTTTTTTGACTTCA